TACCTACTACTAATTATTGTGCCTTCTACTAATTATTGTACCTACTACTAATTATTATACTTACTACCAATAGTTGTGCCTATTACTAATTATTGTTCCTACTACTAATTATTGTGCCTACTACTAATTGTTATACCTACTAATAATTATTATACTGTGTCTACTACTAATAATTGTGCCTACATAAAGATTATTGTACCTACTACTAATAATTGAGCATACTACTAAAAATATTGTGCCTACTAATAATTGTACCTACTAATAATAATTGTGCATACTACTAAAATTATAGTACCTACTACTAATTATTGTGCCTACAACTAATTATTGTGTATACTTCTAATTATTATACCTACTACTAATAATTGTGCCTACTACTAATTATTGTACCACTACTAATTATTGTGCCTACCACTAATTACTGTGACTACTACTAACTAGTATACCTACTACAAATTACTATACCTACTACAAATAATTGTGACTACTACTAATTATTATGCCTACTACTAATTATTGTGCCTACTACTAATCATTATTATACCTACTACTAATTATTGTGCCTACTACCAATTATTGTGTCTACTACTAATTATTGACCTAATTTGTGAGTTAAGCCTATCCAAGCTGTTATATAACAATATCACTCATTTAAGGAATCTTATAACAAGTGAAATATTTGATACGATGAGGAATAATAAGAGATAGTTATTTTTTTTATCCAAAACTGTTAAAATATAATTAATAATTTATACAACCTTAGGGAGATATTACAATTAAAACAGACCATGATTATGACCCATACCTTTTATTATACGTTATTTTAAATTTCAAACACAATAAATACTGTATCTACATCTACATTTTACAAGTGATCTGATATCACTTTGCGGTATAAAGTGAAATATAGAAAATATTCTGCATCGCTTCTTCCCGACATCAAAGAGTCTCTGTTCACGTGCAACACATGATAACATCTCCGATATTTTCGTGACGCTCCATGGCTTTTACATTTTTCATCAAACTATCTTTATTGTTGAAATAATAATGTCTTAAGTAAAAAAAAAATGCTGTCTTAAAATCTACATTGTTATAAAAATGGGGTAATTTCTGTTCGTACATACAAGAACTACTATGAAATTCTAGTTATTATATTCCATAGCAAAGGATGGCTAAATATTCACTGTCTTATAATTATGTTAGGAAATATATTTTTTCTGTAGTCACGAATTAAAAAAAATTGCACTGGAGAAATCTGCTTATACTTGGCATGCTTAGTTTTTGGCTTAGTCAGCAGTATGACTTGTGTGGTATATTTTGTTGTATAACTAGTGGTCAACTTAAGCTGTAAAACAACGTAATTTTGAAGAATTCCCACTGACCATAATAATTTATATTTAATGTGAGGACATATACATTATTTTATATAAAATGTTTAATGCATATTGAATATATATATATAAATATTAAAATATAAAAATATAAAAAAGGAAAATAAATAATATTAGGCCTATGTATATAATGTATAAAATATGTAAATATTGAAAAATATAAAAACAAAAAAATACAATGAACTGTTATTACGTATATTATATTTAGTATGTATATAAAATAAAATATTTAATAGAACTCCTTCTTTCTTGTAAATTTTAAAAAGAAAGAAGGAATTCTTCTTAATTATATTATATTATGGTCAAATGGTATATTCAATATAAATAAATTATTATTAATATAAGTTTTTCACTGTTGATATGATCTATCCCCTAATAAATTATTTAATAATTTTAACTATATGATACTCAATCAAGTTAGTTTTTAGAGTTCTTATTTCAACATTCAATATGCCATATCTATGAATTTAATTTATTACAAATTAATAGTTTTATTCACCTAATAACTGTCTGAACTGAGCATAATATTTATAATATTTAAAATGTAAAAGGCTTTTGTATTTTTCGTTTTGCCTTGACTTCCATTGGATGGAATTTCAGATAACTTGGCTCCCCTGCATCAGCGATTGAAAATGAGCTTTCGGGCTTGAAATCAATTCTGATGAAATCCATATTGAGTTGTACTGAGAAGGAATATACAGAATGTCCCTGAACTCCCTACCAACCTTTTAAGCAATCATTTCTGGACCAAACAAAGACAAACAAAACATCATATTACATTTTCCAAAACTCACAAGTTATCCATGTAGCCACCATTGGTCTTTTCAACCAAAGAACAATTTTTATTGGTTAACGGCCTTTTGCAGGAAATTGATATTTTACACAGATTAGTAATTAAAACACCTACTTTGAGAAAAAAATTAATTTTCATATTTAGTTTAAAAATTGCATTCATTTAAAATTGCACAACTCAAACAATAAAAATACTACATCAGTAAACAAAATCATTGTGTTAATTTTTTATTTAGGTAATTTCATTACAAATTCATCGATATCAAATTTAAGTAAATCGCTTCATAAATAAAGGAAAAAAACATTTTAAGATCCTGTGTATCAAACAATATTTACAGACAATGGGTAACATCATGGATTAAATTTCAATTCCATACAAAAAGCTGTTAACAAATAAAAATAGTTTTCTAAAAAAACTACATTAACAAACAATTTTTGTACAAGTAACTATTGATTTTTTTTCCATTGTTACATGATTTTGTTTGTTTTTAGTCCAGGCATGCTATGTTTAAAGATCAATAGAGAGTTCGTGCTCACCCTGTAAACTTATTAATACACTTTTTAATCAGTTTTACAGGGGGAAAAGATTCTTGAAACACAAATAAGCAATGAACAAATGTGTTGCTTCCATATTAGCATTATAAAGCAGTTGCTGTTAAGATCCAAGGGGTAATTATAACTTTACAAGACGCCTGAAACTTGTTACCGGATTCAACAAGGGTCTACTTATAATGAGAGTTGATGTGTAAAACTACAATGTGATATAATTCAACGCTACAAACCTACAGAGTTGCAGACTTGGGTTATCATTTGTGAATCTTTATAAAATTATAGTAGATTTATTTAATTCAGTTGTATACTAATAAGTATGCTTCTTTCAATTTTAGTTTTGAACCAGAATTTTTCTAGCTTTAGCAATTGTACCATTTTGCTTAAAGTTAATAGGACCATAACATACTAAATTTTAATCAAAATTATTCGGGCCGTTTTTTGTGAAAATCGCCATTTAAAATGAAAATTTAAAAATGAAAAATTATATCACAATTAATAATAATTGGACTACTACACATACACAAAAAAAACAACAAAAAAAAAATCACTTTGAAAACCACTTTTTGGGTACATTTAAATCGTATATTTTCCACTCTAAACTCAAACTTTCTCCATATACTATGTATATGGAAAGAAAGTAAAAATAAAGCTGTATAATTAATTAAGAAACAGCAATCGATGTAACTCCACAACGATTTTTCTTAACATGTTAATGGTTAAGAAAGCCTCTAAAGCACGCTATTGCCAATAAACCTCACATAAAGCTAACCACAAAAACGTGATTTCTCGGGCACAACATAACACAGCCACGACCGCCACAACCACAATCACCAACAACCATCGATCTGCTTAAATCGTTGGAATACCTTCACTCGTTTAGTTCTCTCTTATAAAATAATCCTTCTTAAAGTTAAAATACCTAAATCAATTAAAAATTAAAGTGTAAGTCTAGGTTTGTACAAAATATTTTCTTAATTTGATGAAATATGTGCTAAAATACTTTTTAATTCTTGTAAAAAAAATTAAAAAAAATTAAAAAACTTTGCTCAAAAATCGGTTATATGAATGATAAAATTATAAGTAGTTTATTAAGTGTGAATTTTAAGAACACTTATTGAGCCACTTGTGTATATAATAAATTAATGCAACACGGTTTTACTCATATACATCCTTTTTTCAGCTGTCCTACTTAATCGAGTTTTATGATTAAGGTGACATTGTATAGTTTATCATCTAGCAGAGTGACAAATAGTGAATAAAAAGGTCATATCATTTAGGACTTCTTCTCCCTTGAGATTTGTTATTACTTTCTCCCCCTATACCATAGTATATGGAGAAAGTATTGTTTTTGTCAAAATTTTCGAGTTTTGGTTTCGAGTGCATAGCTGTACGTTTTGGGCCCCCTGGACCCAAAAAAGTTGTTTTCGAAGTGATGTATGTGTGTGTGTGTATGTATGTGTGGATGTGTACAGAGCTACAGAGACTATACCTGTGGTCTGATTTTGATTAAATTTGGTATGTAGGTACTAATCTTTGGTATCTTCAGGCATTTTTCTATTTTTTAGAAATTATGATTTTAAAAATGTTGATTTCCTCTTAAAACCCCATAAAATAATGGAAAAATCAGCTTTTTCGAAAATGGCCCGAACGATTTAAATAAAAATTTTTGAATAACTCCCATTCCTGTAAAAACTCTGGTTAAAAAGTTATTGTAAATTATGTTGTTTTCCTATATAAAAAATCCATAAAATAAAAGAAAATCGTATTTTCCAAAGAAATCCGATTTTATTGAAATAAGTATGCAATATTCCTTATAATTCTTAACAACACAGTGAAACCCCCCTTCGTGTAAAAATTTATGTTCAAAAATTATTGTGACTTTTTTTATTTTCCCATAAAAACCCATGAAAAAAACAAGCTGGAAACAAGCAGCTCCAGAAAGTGATTCAATAGTTTTGTCTATTACGATTGTGTTAGTGTACATTGTACTATTAATATGACGAACTATTTACAATAAGGAAAAAATAAGCTACAATTATGTAGATAAGTCTGGTTCAGGAGGAGATGTAAAAAAGTTAACCAGATTTTTGTATCTACTGTTTTGACCAATTTTAATAGGGACCATATTTGAATTCTCAAGCGCTAAAAGAAAATAAATCAAGGTAAGGAGAATGTATTGCCATGTAGCATTGCCATGCAAACATGACTATGAAAAAACAATCGTTTATAACAAATCATCTCTAGAAATCTAGAAATCTCTAGAATCTAAATTGATAACAGATCATAAAAAAATCTTTTACTCACCAACAGATCGTAATCTTGGTTGGCTGGAAGAAGTTTCTGTGCGTAAACAATGCCCGACAATGGGTGAACGTTGAATCTACCTTGACTGCTCTTTATGTAGTACTCAAGCTGACCGTTGACTCCAGCATCGTCATCCTTCGCAACCAACTGTAATGATACAAGAATGCATTCAATTGTCTGTGGAGCAGAGTGGTTATAGTACTCGCCTTCAAATCTGAAGGTCCCTAGTTCGAATTGTCTGGTAAGCAGAGTGGTTAAAGTACTCGCCTTCAAATATGAAGGATCCTAGTTCGATTCCAAGAGATCGTTTCCAGACCCAGATGAAATTTTTCGTTGGGCAATCAATTAATGATGCTTCTAACAACAGGACGTTAAGTAACAAGACCAGGGTTTGGACCATCCTTTTAAAAATGTTAATTAATGTCACTATAGTATCGACAATGGAAAATATGAAAAAGAATAAAGTGAATAGTAAGTAAAGTTCAGTTTTGATCTCGTTACTTCCTTAAACAAAATCGTCCGAATACTCGTTTGGAGAGAAAATATTTATAGTGTAGGTTTCAAGCTGCAAACTATTTTTGGTAACTTGATCAAAAGGTCAAAAACAATACTGATTTGATTTTAGTTCCCAGTGGCAAGAAGTAGAAAATTGAAGAATTCGTTACGTGGTCTGCTAGCCTTTGTTCAAGATTTTTGAAGTTTCCTCCAATATATGAAGATACCACATACCATGGTGAAATACATTGGAGGCAACTTCAAAAATCTTGCAAGAACAAAGGCTAACAAACAAGGTAAGGAAAAATGCAATTACTGATTGTCATCGTAATATATCTTGAGTGTTCACAAATTTTTCTGAACCATTTTTTGAGAACAATAGTGTGAAGAGGCATAACAATATAACCACGAAATTAGACCAGAAATGAGTATAGCAGCTTAAGTAATATTTCCAACTAGTACTAAAGATAGAATAACGTTAGACTTTACAACTTTAATAAAATTTAAACCCTTGTTAAAACAATTGAGAAGTCTGAATAAAAATCATTACACTTACCCTAAAAACTGGGTAGCCAGTAAGGTTGTTGATATCAAGGTTGCGCCAAGACTCGCCCGTAAACAACGCCTCAAACTCCAGATCTGTCTCACTAACGTCCACCTCGTTCTAAAACATTGCAGACATGTTTATAAACAAAAATATATAAGAAGCACTTTTTGTTATCTGAAAGATGTCTAGTCTTTATTAACATAATCTTAATGCAATAAAGGCGAGTCTAAGTTATATAATTTAGTTTTCAAGACTGTTTGAACTCTAAGTAATTTCTGTGTGGATTTTGAACTACGAGTTTTAAGAATATTCATCAAATTTTAGTTTGTTTTTAAGAAGTTGTGCTTTTTAATATGGAACTTTATTTTGCTAAGGATTCTACTCTAATATTACTAACATATTTGTTAAGTGTATGTAATCACATACCATGTTTTCATTTGAACGTGGGGTAGAAATAATATATATATATATATATAAGAAAAGAAAAATTGATATGTAAAAATTAAATAAAATAAAAAATTGAATAAATATGGAAGTAAACAATTTAAAGATAACAGAATTTTTTGAATAAGAACAAAAAATTCAAAACAATTCAATTTAATTCAAGAACAAAATTCAATCACATGTGCTCATTAAAAATACAATTATTTTAAACATTTTTCATTTTTTACTTGAACATTTTTTTATGATAAATTAAAAATAGCACTGTTTTGTATTTAATTATTCATCATTCTCTACGAATCTAGAAGAAACATGTAAAAGGTTAGGTACGGAAACATACAATTTAAGAACATAATTTTGCAAAAAGATTAATTTAATAAAGTATATTTAAACTTGAAAGGTAGAATTATGAAATAGTATGGATGATTCTTACCTGGATGATAAAAGTAGAGTCCCTATGGTGCATCTCTGGTATCATGATGTGATAAAACGTTTGATCAAATTGTGGGGAATTGTCATTGGCGTCGTCCACTGTGATGATAACTTGAACTGTTGATGATAATGGCGGCACACCGTTGTCTGTCAAAGTCACCTGGAATCATTCAATTCAACTAATACATCCCACAATGAATAAAGGAGGTAAGAGTAATCCAGAATAAGATAAAAGAATAAATGAATTGATAAAATAAAATAATTAACTTATCCAAAACTAGTTGTTGGTATGACGGTTAGTTTCGTTCCTTAGAACTTTGTCAGGTCATTTTCTATGAAACCATATCATCAATGTATTAATACATTGTAGTATAACAATAGGTTCTAAAATACTGTCACAATAGTATAATTAAAACTGTAATGTAATTTTTGTAAAATAATTAAAATGGAATAAAAATTTATAAAACTGATTGAAACTGCAAAGGCTGGCCACCACTGTCTTATCACTGACACTAGCTAAATAAAACTAAGTTTTATTTAGACTTGAGTTTAAAAGACTGACGAAGTTCTAAGGAACGAAACTTGTCGTGTTGCCAACAACTGTGATTGTATAATTTGATTTTTTTATTTAAAAAATAATATATTCCAACCAAGGATCACAATGAATAAAATAAATAAAGCTTGTTTATAATAATTTAAATTATGAGCAAATGCTTTTTAAGTTGAACTACTTAATAAACTGTATTGACAATCTTTCACATTATTTCTTCAATTAGTTTGTTAATAACCCTTATCATATATTGTGTGGGAATAGCTATGATATTTGATTAGGAAGTCACAAAAATTGCAATATATTTGAAGAATTGGAGTTGTAACACTTTTTGAAGTTAAAAGGACTATAGCATAGTTGATTTCAATCAAAATTGTTTGAGTTGTTTTTGTTAAAAAATATTATTTTCCTTTTATAGTAGTATCGTCATTAAAAGCAAAATTTCTAAAAAAATGAGAAAAAAAACACCTGATGATGATATGGATTAGTAAACAAACACTAAATTTCATTGAAATTTGACCAAAGGTGTAGTCTGTAGCTCTGTTCACATTCACGGACACCATTTTTTGGTCCAAAGGGACCCAAAATAGATATTATCACCCAAAACTCAAACTCAAAAATTCTGACAAAAAAAATTATCTTTATACATAAAGGAGAAACTGAAAACCATGAGCAAAGTTTTGCTTTTCAAATTGAATAATTACAAAAGAACAGCAGTACAATATGGGAATTTATAATCAATATGATTAAATATAATTAATGTCATATACAGTGATTACTCGTACAAATGAAATGGAAAAACTGTAAATTAAATTAACAAGCTGTGTATTTCATTTTTAATCAATCTGTAAATTGGATATAAACTTTAGTAATACTATTTTTTTGATCAATATTTAACAATATTTATTTTAACAATATTCAATAAGTTCGGTACCTCATCAATACAAAGACTCTTGGAGAACGACTGTCAATACAGTGATGGCAAAACAATACCATCTTCAACAACAATAAGAACAATGCCAGTATGAGAAAACTGCAAGTGACATTTGACAGTGTTATGATTGATGAAAAAGCAGTGAAACATCACTTGTACAACATTTAAAAAATATTCTAGATATAAATAAATATTATTTCTTTTGCGTAAAGGATATTTTTTATTGTAATCACAAAGAGCAAAAATATGTTTTTGTTTACATCCCTAACAAAATAATAGTAAAGTAATTGACATATTTTAATGTCAGTGGTGAATGAGGAATTAATGCGGATATTTTCTGTCACGATTATTAAAAGATCAGTTTTAATGCCGTCCACAAGTGAAAAAGTACCTACTGTATTACCTAAAAACAAGATAAAAGTAATAACCCCAGCTAAAGTTGGGGAATCCTATGGAGGAACCACACAGAAAACGGTGTAAACTTAATCAGAACAACATGCAAAAAAAAAAATAAATAATATGGTTGTTGTATTGTACTAAGAAGTAAAGAAAACAGGGATACCAACATAAAACAAGCTATTTTTTTCGTTCAAAAGTATTTCACGTTAGTTGTAATTATTTGGGTTCCGTTAAAAAACACACCCTGTATAAAAAGGTAATACAAAAAGTTTGTTAAAAAGTCACTCCTTAAAACCAGTAATCATTCTTGTAGCTGTTTAAAATTTATTGCCCGAAGTGTTTTTAAATGAAAGAAACAAAGCTTGAGTTCAGGAAATATTCAAAAGTTGAGTCGCTTCTGGTCCGTTCCATTACTGACACAAAACACAGCTAGTAACTTTCTTGTCAACTTTATTTCAAGTTTAATCCAAGTTTCATTAATGCTTGTTGGTTATTCATGTATGCTAAATCACACTTTATTATCTTCCTAATTTAATAAAAACTTTATTTATCAAGTAATAGGATTCGGCAATACAATTTATGATACAGGAAACATTGTTTTGTGAAAACATTAAAATAAATACTATGGTTTTGATATAAAGAATTCAATTACAATTACTTCAATAAAACTATTCCTGATTATTGAATGGATTGTACTCCATTTTCCTATAATAATTAATTTTTCCACGTTTCGTGACTTTTCCCAAAGAAGATAATATGATTAACGAAGATGAGGTTGGCAGCACTAGGCTGCATGAGTTGTCTGATACGCGTCGCTCCAGTTTTTATTCCTGAATACAATTAGGACAAGGATTATTCAAGCGGTTCAGATGGTAACGCATCCGTCATAATATGTAACTTACATTTGTCAGTGGCTCACATCAACCACATCTATTTGATTAAAAACTGGCAGCAACTTTAACAAGAGGATAGAATTTCTAGTATTTTCAAGTCAAAGGCTACTACTCCAAACCAGAATTATGAATTAAAAATATATATTTACCTCAAGAACATATTCCTTCTGCAGCTCTCGGTCAATCTGATCCGTAGTAGTGTAGAGAACACCTGTTAGGACAGTATAATTTTACAAAAGTAAATCCGGCTGTAGTGTGTTATCAGTATGGCAATACAGATAAGGAAATAAATACAGAATGTTTTCCAACAAATTCCAGTGAAACTAATTTAAAACAAGCAGACACGCTAATTGTGAAGATTGAATTAAATTAAGCCCTTAAGATGATTAAACAATCTTTAATGTTTGGGTAAGAAATAACAGGCCTTCATGTTTTATCTCAGCTGACTATTTTGTGTCTATTATACAGGTTATACCCGAACTTATACCAAATTTTTTATGTATCATTCCTAGATCAGAGACAAACTAAAATATCATGTTAAAAATTCCAAAACGGAACATTTACCCTTAAAACCGCCGATTCAAACTTATTTTTTAAATACTTTGTACAGCATTTTCTCTTATTGGGTAACTAACAATAATTGTTAGTCAATCAGCTGTTTTCATTATTATAACAGCTGATGATTTTAGCTAACTAGCAGTGATGTTGCCTAATGACAACAGATATTGTTTGATACACAAAGTCAGAAAATTAGTTTTCTGCTCTATTTATAAACCGATTATCCTAAATTTGGTAGGGTATAGATAGAATTGTAATAAAATTGCCTAACTAAAATATTACCTGTTTTTTACCGTTGTGGTTTTTATGTTATTGAAGATAAAGAACATTAAATCACTACCATTTCAAAACTAAACATGACAAAAAACTATATTTTTTTTTCTCAAAAATAGGTCTTTCTATGTACCAAGTATCAACTTACTAAAAATACCGTTAACAAATACATATTAGTTTTTAGAAAAAAAACAACACTCTTACACCTGACGTTTCGTCTTTTAATTTAATTATTTAATTTATAACATTAATTTTTGAGTTTTGAACAATTTAAATGTGATATTAGAGAGAGAGCGGTAACACTTTGTATATTTTCAGTTAAATAAATTTAAATCACATTTTGTGCTGATGTTTTTAAATGTCAATACATTTTTTCATCCCATCCAAGCAGATGTAACGGGAAATGAGATAATCAACTTAGCAGCACAAGTTTGATTGTTTTGATGCGATTATCAAAGACGGGGATCGTAATGAACAAGCACATGCGAGTTGAAGAGAGTGTTACTAACGAACAGCTGATTGCTTAACAATATTAGACTACTCGTAATGAAATTATTCTATTGAAAAACAGCTGATTTAATTAGAAGCTGTACCTTAAACAGTACAGCATTTTATCGAGTAATTGGTGTAACAGTCTTTTTTAATCGACCATTATTTACTTACCATTACAATTAATTGGTAAAGAATTTACTAAGTTATAATAAATTCAAATCTGCTTTTTTGTTAGCCAAGCGTTCAGTTTTAATTTAAATAATGTGAGTGTTCTCATATACAGGGTGGCTGAAAAGTAACTTGCACCCCCCCTTAACTTTTCAACCATTTGAGATATTTGAAATCTGTTTGCGGCAACCTTCTTAGATATGAGGGGCTACAATAGTTATGGTCAATTTTGAAAATTTTGCCCTTAGGGGTAGTGGGGGTAGGGAGTAGCTCAAAATTTTCAAATGACAAGTATGGTCGAGTTTGGTATCATTTTACAGGTCTTGACAAAACATAAAAATTTACATAAAGAAAACCAAAATCGGCCGACTAATAACAAAATGGCGCCCTAAAACGTTTCAAATCCAAATAACCATGAGGGTGGCTGAAAATTAACTTGCACCCCCTTTAACTTTTTAACTATTTGAGATTTTTGAAATCGGTTTGCGGCAACTTGTTTGGATATGAAGGGCCTACAATAAAAATGGTCAGTTTTGAAAATTTTGCCCTTAGGGGTAGTTGGTGTAGGGGGTAGCTCAAAATTTTCAAACAGCAAGTATAGTGGAGTTTGGTATCCTTTTACAGGTTTTGACAAAACATAAAAATTAACATAAAGAAAATAGAAATCGGACCATTAATAACAAAATGGCAGTTCAAAATTACTTTTAATGATCATTGTTTTAACCATTTTTAGCTTCCATTTTGTTATTAATGGTCCGATTTCTATTTTCTTTATGTTAATTGTTATGTTTCGTCAAGACCTGTAAAATGATACCAAACTCGACTATACTTGATGTTTGAAAATTTTGAGCTACCCCCTACCCCAACTACCCCTAAGGGCAAAATTTTCAAAACTGACCATAACTATTGTAGCCCCTCATATCTAAGAAGGTTGCCGCAAACAGATTTCAAATATCTCAAATGGTTGGAAAGTTAAGGGGGGGTGCAAGTTACTTTTCAGCCACCCTGTATAATATCCTCATTTGAAATTGTTATATGAGATTACTTATTTTCAAGTTAGGATGATGGAACTATTTTTTCTTTATTATACAGAGTTACACGGAATTAAACAACCAAATATGGCGAAATGGTAAAAGGTAAAAAAAAAACAAGATCAGTAAAAAAAAAATGCCTCGTTTAATATCCAATATTTTGTTTTGTTAAATTTGCAATTTTATGTCTTTAAGATCTCTACAAAAATTTAGTATAAAATTTTATAAAGCCATAATCTATTTTTAAAATGAATGATCATTAAGGATTTCAATTTGAATTTGTATAGCTCAAATTACTATAATATGGCTGATAAAAAAATAGGACACTTTTATATTAACTTTTCAATTAATCTTTGTTGAAACTGAGATTAATAAGATATTTTAGAAATCTCCATGAAATGACAAAGTGTTATGCATCATTTTGTGAAAGTTAATAAAATATTTTAATCAGCCGCAATTTTGATACAATTTGGATTTAACAATTTTTATTCAAATTTCGTACAACGATAGCGTTCAATGAGATAAACATTTTAACACAATCTCATAGCTATAGCTCAAATCGTCAAGGAGCTATGAGTAGAAAACATCCTACATGGAACTAGATAGGACACATGTATTTATAACCTTATTAGGCTTCCTTTTAACCCAAGAAATGTATATGACAGATAACTAACCATTCTCGTTGATGGCGAAGTGTCCAGCAGCGTTCCCTGCGGTGATGACGTAGGAGATCCCTGTCCCTTGCCTATCAGACCTATCAGCATCCCTGGCTAATATTCTCAGCACAGCCGTGTTTCTTGGGCTGTTCTCTACAACCCGTCCCTCGTAGCTTGCCTCCTCTGCCAAGGGTACATTATCATTGTCGTCCTCAACTTCTATATACACCTGCAGGGATAAATCATACATATATAGTTTTCAAATCGTCCTTTCCACAAAGTAAAAGTTGGGATTTGATTCATTGACACATTTTTTATCAGTGCAGTTCTTCACATATTTATTACAATTCAAAATGAATTTGGTAAAATATTTTCCAAGAAAAAGGATATAATTCAAAACTAGAGAGCTTTATCAATATAATATTCCTCAATTATACCACAGACAGACATATAACTTTTGCGTTGATAATATGCTGTTTAGTTAGCCTACAGTAACATTAAAATTCCCCTCTAACAATAAATCACAATAAATTAGTTTGATTGTTTAAATTATTGTCCTACATACTTATTACACCCATCAATGGGCATCGAAATATAGGCCGACCAATTTTTTTAATAGTTTAAGTTGATTTTATTTTAGTTTTCAAAATTGACGCAGTTAATCCAGTAAACCTGATCAAAAACAAATATACGGTATTAAAGGTAGATCACAAGAAATTATTATACACAAAAGTAATTTTGTACGTCGAGTTTCGACAGGCTAAAGCATATCTGTAATAGTTATAAGTTACCGTTGAAATAACAATTTTACTGTGATTATCATGCAATAATTGGTTTTGATAAATCGAGATTAATATCTCCAATGTAAAAATGTAAAATACACCTAAAACATGTAGTATAATTCATAAGATTCCAATTTAAAATCAGTCTTCTAATTTTAAATGGAATCGGGAAATCATATTGAAGATAATTTGTCAAACAGTTGTAAACAAAGTTTATTGATAAGGAATTTTATAAAAAAGTAAATGTGTATAAGTGTTTTGTAGCTTCAGCTGTATATTATGGTTTGGGGTAGTGAAACGTGACAATAGATTGAAGGGAGAATCTATAAGCATATTCAGTCGCAAAACATTTGCATAACAAACGTATTGTAGACAACTCCAACTCCGACAATCGCCGACGCTAACTTCAAAATTCTGCTAACTTTTGGGTAAACATTGAATTGCCACTCGGGTGTGTGTTGGGTTGAAACTTCCATGGATCTGTGGTTGATCACTTTAAATGCGGGGAATATTGTATAAACAGTTTTCAATTAATTAATCATGTGCAAATTGAACATTTAAAGGTAATAAATTATTTAAATTGGTTTGAATACTATTTAGTTTGAAAATAATAGACTTGTTTTAAATATTAACCTTAAACGTCCATAAATTAATAAATATTTTGTAGAACAATTTTTATCTTTCTACAAAAGATTCCTACTGATCAGAGACCGTGCCCCATTCCCCTCCCTAGGTGGAATAAATTAATTTTGTTTTGAGAAACAACTTGGAAAAAATGTGAAGCCAAGAAAATAGATGAAGTCCAGGACCATCTCGTCAGAGAGTACTAGTGTATGGGGTTGACTATTAAATCAAATCAAAGCAGTATCATAGCAAACAGCTGATTGATTTGTCACTTGAAATAGAATATTGCCATTCGTTGGTAAACCATCTCAACAGATTGCACCACGTTTTTGGCTTCAAATTTTAAATTAAATGGGAAGTTATTCTGTGTTTAGTCAATGATAAAACCTATTCAGGAGTGTAGTTCAAGTCTTGACTTATTCAATCATTATTAAGTTCTTACTAAGTAAGAACTCAAGCTTAAATTTGTTTCATAATTCCTCTCTTTTGCTCTAAAGGGAGACTTAAAAATTTATTGGTTTGGATTGGAGAAGGTGATTTAATTAATTTTGCCATAGTTGTCATCGAAGTGGAATTTTGTTTAGTTTACAAAACAGCATATTTCTAAACATTTGACGTTGCCCACTACTTTTCCTCATTTTTACATGTTAACTTAATCAAAGTGTATTTTGTAAACTAGATAAATTGTGTCAGAGCAGGTAGTCAGTGTTAGCCAAGCGTCTTCCCCTTCATCAACCAACACTGGTAATGACGAAGACGTTAGACTGTATCAATTTGTTCAAAAACACTCTTGTAAATAGATAAAGGGGCAGACGCTTGACTAACACTGTCTACCTGTTCTGACACAATGTATCGAGTTTACAAAATACACTTTGATTTTGTTGTCATACTGAATTTGGAAAAGTAGTGGGAACAGTCATATGTTTGAGAAATTAGCTGTTTTGCACACTAAACAAAATGCCACCTCGATGATAACTGTAGGCAAAATTAATTCAATCGCCTGCTCCAACTGAACTACTTAATTTCCTTAGTATAGTATATCCTTAGTATAGTAATGTAATATAGTATATAATAATATACTATTATATAGTATATAATGTAATATGTAATATAGTAATATAGTAGTAGTAGTATATCCTATAAATTGTAATATCCTTAGTATAGTATAGTATTTTGACGTTAACATTTTTTAAATTTAAATCATAGCTAGATTGCTAATTAGTTAACTGCAATCAACTATTTTCTCCAGGTAAAATTTCACATTTTCAGTGAGAAATTCAATGAGCTATCCTAATTTTATACTAATTACTTTTTATTTTAAGGTTGGTTTACCTCGGCGCGGGAGTGTAGAGGTTTGACTCCATGGTCGTAGACAAGCACAGTTAGCCAATAATGAGATGAAGTCTCCCGGTCTAGCACAGCACTGGTCCAAATCTGACCTATAACCATCAGGACAGTGTTAACAATGTTACTCAAATTAAAAACATAATTGATTCAGTTTTGAATGGATCCCAATTCAAGTATCGATTGATTTTGTTCTGCATTACTTGCAAAGAGCAACATGTTTTTATTACTGGTCTGGTCTTGCAATACAAAAGTGTGAACAATTCACGTTACAAATGTATTCAACTTACTTACAAGAGCCTATATTTCAGAAATATAAACGAATTAATAACCTGCCTCAAAATAGGCTATCACTTAAAAACTTCCAATTAACAATTTTAAAATTATTTAAAATATATCTACTACATAGACCTTTGAAACAATGCACCTCCTAGCCCAAGAAGAGGAAGAAGATATACAACAGGATAAGAGAAAGAAAAAAAAACGTTTACCACATTCCTGATGCGACATCAGTGGGAAAAGTCACAAATATTATAACACCAACGGATAATAAACATAAACAAATGAAATCACTGGCCAGAATGTCTGTACTAATATCCGTAACAGCTGGTTTTTACTTAGCAGTTAAAATATTCATAAACACATGTTCACTTTTGTGCCAGTGACGTAATATTTTGCTTACGATCCATATCGTTTCTGTTCTAATATTTGTGAAAACCCCCAAGTATCATTTACCGTTGAACCAATAGGCTACACTATTACAAAACCGAGCCATATCTAGTAGATTTTTTAACACTAAGTAAACCTTTATTTCAAACCATTTAAAAATTAAAATGAATGGGAAAATGTTAACGTTCAAATGTAAGAGTCTTGAGGAATACAAACTTGACTCAAGTCTAATTAAACATACTGTTGACCTAGTCACATTATTCTTCGTATAGCCATCTTGACCCTTGGTAAGGACTTTATTATAACACTTCGTATAATTAATTAGTACTCATAAGAGACTCAGTTTTACTTACTGTGTGCTTGAACTTAGAATGTAATAGGAACTGGTAACTAGTATACACAGTGTGTAAAGTAAGTCTTGAAACAAATTTGTATTTTTTAAACCGAAATAGATAGAAATATTCTGTTTGTGGCGTTTATTGTTAACAAAGGTTCCGTAATTTTTTACATCAAAAATATGTTTTAACCTCCCTAACATGATAGGGGATAGGGGGTGACTTATTTTTCAATTAGCAACCCCTGTTGAGTGACACCTCATTTTGAAGGATTTGTCAAAAGAAACACAATGACGCAAACCCGAGGTTGATATCTCACCCCTAGCCAAAATGGTAGGTATTCCAAAATTTGATTTACTGTTTGTGAAAAACATCAATTTCACAAATCTGGAAACAAATCTGTATTTTTAAAAACCAAAATAGATAGAAATATTCTGTTTGTGGAATTGATTATTAACATAAGTTCTGCAATTTTTTACATCAACAATATATTTAGGCCTTTTAACAGGGTAGGGGGTGGGGGTAATTTTTTATAACAACCCATATTGAGTGAAGGATAAATCCCTCATTTTGAAGGATTTGTCAAAACAAACACAATGACGCAAACCCGAGGTGAATATATCATCCCTACCCTAAATGGTGGGTATTCCAAAATTTGATTTATGTGAAAAAGTACCCATTTCGTAACACCTGCCATTTTGGCAAGTTTTCGAGTTTAAGTTTTTATGCGTATGCATTATGCCTACTCCATACTATGTATAGGGAGGGAAAGTAAAAATGGACAGATTTTAAATCAATTTACTAAATTTTTATTTTGTGTTATTCCCGATCAATCAAATGTTGTTTGTGTATGTGTTTTCAAACTTTGAGACAAGTGTAATGGTGATTAAATCGCCGAAACGCATTTCCTATAAATGATAAAACAGGGTCAACTGGCGGACACAGGTAGTTTTACCTTTTTTGATCTACTAATTAAATTAGACACCAGTTCCACACTGAACGTAATGAACGTGTCTTTCCGTAAGTTCGAAGCTAGATAAGACTGGTATAAACTATTACAGATTGTTGTTACATTAAGCAACGTTTCTCGCCTCTGATAGGCCTCTCTTCGCTCGTAACTCAGCTGTTTATGGCTGCTGTGGCAGCTGATAAAACCAACATCTGATCCCTTGTAAAAATAAACCATTTGCCGCGGAAAAAAGCTAACTCGTCAATGAGAATTAACTCACCTTACTCAAAAGTAGCCGTGTTTTTAATTTAAACAAATTAGTTTTAAAAAATTTAAGTTAAATGGTAAACTATTTTTTCCTATGAATAAAAGATTGTTACAAATACAAGATTTGATCCAATTCACTGAAGTGATCTTTATCTCCCCGTAATCTCTTGAACTTTTCGTCAATTTTAAACTAGCCTATTAAATATCCTTTATCTGGATGTAAATATAATCATCTCTTTTTCCAAAGGACTAATCGTTATTTGTGTAACTAGTGGGCAAAGTGGCAGTTTGCACTCGCGTTACACATTATTTTTCCTAGAGTTACTATAAAGTATGTAAATAATTAGTCTTTCAAACCCTGTAAAACACGTTTTTAGGTTAGGTTAAATCCAAACATTGAACAAAATGGAAAACGCTGTACTATAAACACCCGTAGACCGTAGTCGCAATATCTTTAAGTGTTGCCAACTTATTTTCAAGCCTGAACATTATGTGCCTAATAAAAGCACGCCGTTTAGTGTTGTTAGGATATAATACTGGTGTACGAAAAAAAAACTGTGCAGCAAAAGCTATAATTAGAGCAAGGAAGACCACTTTCTTTGTCAGGTGACTGTAGGAAAATCTAGATTTGTTTGATATCCTACTATGCATAGGTGAGACACTCTGGAGATTAAATTATCTCAATTTACCAATGATGACATTATTTGAGTTTGTTTTTTATTTGAGTTTCATTCACTATCTAATTTATAATGCTAAATATTACTAATTAATTGAAATATATTGATTATAAGCTGATTTAGGACTTGATTCCCTTGGCGTTAGATTTATTTATAGATTTTGCTTTCAAGGATTTTATGGTGCTGACAATCCCAGAATCATCATTGAATCCTTTTAAACTCCACAATAAAGGGCGAAGACCTAAAGGAACTTTGGGCTACAATTCATCCCAACGCTGGATCATAAGCTTTAAAACGACACATCAATCGTAAAAATCAATTAAGTAGGTTGGCTGAAAAAAGGGGTGTTACATCGAGCACCCTAATTGTATTAATTTTATGAGTAAATTCAGTTTTTTAAGGAGATTAATGAATTCAAAATATCATAAATTCATTATTATGTTTACAGAAAATAAAGTATAGTTAAAGAACGAACACACAATCCAAATGCATATTCACCACGAACCTTAAATCGTGATAGAATGCAGATTTAATTGAGTTTCGTTAAGTTCTGTCGGCAAAGAACATTAACATTTTAACGATTTAAGTTGCGTCCCGTTAGCATCTACTATACAATCCTTCCTGTCTCTGTAGACAATAAATTTTAGACGATGTAAGTATGTTTCAATAAAGTGTGGATTCTTTAAACCACTATCGATCATCAAAAGAAGTAAATTCTTCAATATTCAATTTATTTGAATGTCATTAGTAGTTTGCACAGAACCCTAAACCTGAGAATATAACATTGTTAAGAGCTTACGTACAACCAGAATCAAACATTGTATTAGTCTAAAGCAGATTATTCATTAATCAGATATACATAGGATTGTTAACAAAAGAATTTTAGAAAATTTGTTTTTTTCAAACAGGGTATAGGCTGGGATGAAATTTGTTTTAGAAAAAAGAAGCTACAAAGTCTCAGACAACTGTAGCAAAAAAATATTCTTTCAGCATAAAAAAAATTGCCAATAATATTACATGTTTTGACATTACATCTTCAATAAAATGCTACCGCTACCGCAGCTTAAACCCTGATTTCAAAGACTTGAGTTGCGTTTTAAAGACTAATGATATATTTTAAACCAACCCTATGTATTTTGATAAACTTTGTATTTCATACTACCCATATTAAATCACATTAATTCCGATATCTGTAAGTGACAATCACTCTTATACAAGGATCCATACATTGTCATGTTGGATATCAGATTTTAGATTTAAATTTCACCGCAGTGGCTCCAATATCCCCAAAGGCAATCAGTCAATGGTAGAAGCTCTTCATCAAAGTCAAGTTAACACTCGTCATTTTTCAGGACGAGAATCGACGTTAACCAAATCAAAACGAATATTTAGGATTTTAATAAATCCGTTTGTGAAATTGGGGTGGTTTTGAGGGGATTTTCCCCCACTAATTTTTTTGTCTAATGAATAATCTTGCTTCATTGAGGTTATTCCTAATGAAAATGCCTTCAGCTGCTTTGCTGGAAAATGGGGTTGAAAATGCTTAATCTTGCCTGTAAACGAATTAGGCTACCATTAGTTTTTAATGACTTACATCTAACGTATGTATTGTGCAAAAGGGCAAAATTATGAATAAAAGTTCTTTATTCTTGATACAATGACACAAAATGAGTCAGACAAATAATGAAATAAAGGTCTTATATGTTTTTCCTTGTAATTTTACAAAATGTCCGTTGGCACTTTAATGTAGGACTTTTTAGACTTGTGATTCATAGACTAATTTAATCTAAACTACACTAAGCTATTAAACATAAAATTTAAATAAGTAAATTAATTAGTTTTTGTGAACACATCTCTATATTTAATACTTTTCCTGACATAACTGTAGCCAATAAAATACCTTGGCATTATACATACGGTACCAGGTCAAAATTTTTAAATACCTATTATTATTACTCCATTTCATACTTTGTCTAAAAACTTTAGGCAATGTATAGAATGCCTGAATTTTTTAATTGCCGGGAACATAGTATATAAGGTAGTATATCTTATTACTCATCAATATAAGTTCACAATTATAAGAATATATCGGCCTATTGAATCATAAATATCTTTAACCATAAAAAATACTGTGACTGTTAGATCTCCTAAACACCCTATCCAATAACTACCCGTTACAGAAAACTTTAACATAAGTG